TTTGAGCCTTACCATTAAGAGGGGAAGGAGCTCTGGGCTGGATGAATCGTTTCTTTGTTCCAAAAATGCGAAAAATCGCATATGGAATTTTTCACTAATCTCGAAGTTCTTTGCCCCCGGCTCAAACAGAAATTCACATCTTCCCGGCTCACACATTGCACCTTCAGGACCATTACAGTTAGACGGGGCATTGCGGTGCACAGGCTGCTCTAGTGCCAGTTTGGCTCCAGGAGTCCTTTAAAATTACGAGTTGCTATCAGCTTTTTTCCTCCTTGTTTCTTCTGGTTTTTTTTGTATAATGTACATATGTGTTCTTGTGTTTTATGATATACACGTCATTGAAAAAATATCCGCCTAGTGAGCAGCTAGGACTACGCCTAGGAAGGGGGAGAAGTCTTACCGGAGAACGAAGATTGTACCACGTAGCCGGGGTTGTCCCTCCCTTCTGAGACTAACAAGGGAGGTCTTTCAGGGCAAGGTGCGCTTTTTGGAAAACGGTTTAGTACATATTGTAGGGACGCATGTATGGACCACAAAACCATGTTTCGTTTTCGCTGAACGGTTTTAGTAGTACCAAAAAAGTGGTGAATAATACTCTTGATGGTTCAATCCCCCGCGGCGACTAAATTTTGCAATCAAGGTTGACGATGAATTTGACATCTGATTTTGATATTTAGCGCGATTTGGCACCAAACCGTAGGCGCCAACCCAAATGCAAAATTTAGTCGCCACGGGGGATCGAACCCTTAACAGTACCTTATGCTTCTTTTTTGGTACTGCTAAACCGTTCAGCGAAAATGAAACATGGTTTTGCGTTCCCTACATGCGTCCCTACAATATGCACAAAACCGTTTTGAAAAAGCGCACCTTGCCCTGAAAGACCTCCCTTGTTAGTTAGTCTCAAACCTTTACATTGGAAAAATATACTATCCGTGGTTTTGAACACGGTGTGCGCTCTAAACCGCCTGCCCCCTAACTGGAATAGACCCGCTTTTTAGCACCATAAGCCGTACAACATAAAAAGGAGTGGCGTTCAGACGAAGATCGTAACATTTGGAAGATCGTGACATTTGGGGAATTCAAAGCAGGGTCAACCGTCCGTTGGACAAAGTCCAACGAGGGGTGGGGGTCGTATTTGGGGTGGAAAAGGGGGGGGGGTCGTATTTCGCGAGGTAGCGTTAATGTTACAGTAAGGGAAGGGATGATTTTTTATGGAACGGAGAGCGGATTAGGTTGTAGGCTGGGATTTTAGGTTGAGTGTTTAAGAGGGGGGGGGGTCGTAAAATTTTCGAAATTGGTCCAGCGTGACGGTTGACCCTGATTCAAAGACCCCGTGTGAAATGGGGATTACCGTAACTATATACTATAACTATTGCCCCATGATACCACATCCTTCCCTTGTTGGTATAGTGCCGCCTTGGCTGAGGGTTTTGCTCATACATTTGCTATCAGGAAACTGCTGTTGATTCCACTCCACTGCCCCTATTTCTGTGTTCATAAGTTCGTGTCCTTTTGTCTGACCAATAGGTCACGTTACCTAACGTCCTTGTAGCCAATACGGTCACGTTACCGAAGAGCTATGAAGGAGGCCTAAGTCGATCTAGGTGCGTGCGTCGAGTTCTCAAGAGGGGAAGGGAGAGGGAGGTGTTATAGCTCAGTGATATGGAGGGGCTTTCAGTTGCGCGCCCTCCCAATAAGCGAGCAAAAACCCTTGGAATTCCTTCGCGCGTCATCAGATCAGCAACCTCTCGGGACTTCCCAGTTAGCGATCCTACGTTCAGAGTCCCAATTCGAACTAGCTTCTTTGGCCGAGGCCGTTCACTCCTCGGTAGCCCTCGCATACTGACCACAGAACTCGGGCGGGGGTTCTGCGCGCCACTGGTGCTTTCGCGACTAGACAACATTGATGTGACTGGGGTTTTCATCAGCCGGCCTGTCAACCTGGGCCTGACGCTGGTACTAGAACCATTTTTGCAATTTTTGCAAGGCATGGTTTAACGGCAGGGATCGAACTCGCGGTTTTCAGAGGTGCAGACATGAGTCTAACCTCTTAACCACTCGGCTATCCCTGCCTCTAGCGCCAACGCCAATGCAAATATCGTGCTCAATTTGCGGTTCCCCCGCAGATGCTTCGGCTGGGTGAGCACAAGCCCTACCCTACCGCCAACGTTGACGCGCTCATTTCGCGCGGCTGAACGAGCACGTCGCTCTCCATTCTGATGACCCGTGCCTAAACCGAACTGAACCGAAAAGGGCACGAATTTAAACTGCTGTATAGTGACGTTGCCTGTAGGCCGATGTCAGACTTTGCGAATCGAGCGATTCGCTAGCGTCCGCGGTCGCGTTGCGGTACCAGCCAATTGAGTGATTCACTGGCCGCGACGCGACCGCGGACGCTAGCGAATCGCTCGATTCGCAAAGTCTGACATCGGCCTTATGGTGTTACGGGTGTGGGTCGTTAGGACAGAAAGTGACTTTCGCTTTTGGCAGCACAAAACTTTTCCGCTGCAGGAACTCCAGTCTTCTATGACCAGGTATGGACCTGGGGCCGTATCCTACCCTCCCTCTATGTTAGGGGTGGGGAGGAAAAAATCCCTCTAGATCTATTTGTGTTCAACGAAATACTGTCTTTACTTTCATTCAGCACATGTTTACTTTTACTCACTTATACAAATAGGCCCTTTCTTAGAGCAATCCCGGTTGAGAAGACAAAGAAAATTCAAAGGGGTTTTCGTTCCCTTCCTTCTTGGGAAAGGTCAGGATATGGCCCCTGGGGTTTCCGCAGCAAAAAAAGGTCCAGCTGCGAGAAGCGAAAAAGTCGCTTTCTACCCTTGGCGACCCACACCTAACAATAAATGCCTAGGACAACACTTATTGGATCCCCATTTCTGAGGTTTCCACTGAAGATGGTGTTGCCGACCTCATTTCTCTAGTGGAAGGTGAGAGATGTCTTTGGGACACTTCAACTGAAGATTATCGAAATATATATAGGAAAGAAGAGGCTTGGAATCGTATCGTTGCCGAATTGAACGAGAGAGGCTACCGCTGTGGAGGTGCGATGAAAAGCAAATGGCTTTCATAGGTCCGAAAATTTTTCATAGGTCTTTTTTTAGCAGCCGAATGTAAAGTATATGTATAAAGTCCTGCGAGATAACTATCGGCGAAATGCTGTCTACAAAATCGGTGTCAATAGCAAAAAACCATGGTTTTTCGCGAAATATATGAGGTTCCTGGACAAAGTGGATGTTCAGGGGTAAGTTAATGAAGGACAGTAATCTCGTGGCAGTTTAAAAAAAACCTCAGTTCAGGAACTCTTCCAATATCTGACACGTCTCAAACTGGTCAATGGGAGTTGGTCGATTCAGCCTCGACGAGTTCACCGGAGACCGAAAAGTTTCGGGGGAGAAAACGTATTGCTACTGAAGGAGGTATGCATTGTGAACCACGGCTCGAATCTCGCCCCAGCCCATCTCACAACTTCATTCCCTTAGGGGTCGGTTTTTGTACTTGGGTATTTTTCCCGAGCCGTGACATTCAAAGGGGCTCAATTGTTGTCTCCTGAAAATCCAAAGCGAGTCATCAAAAAAAAGGGGGGGGGGGCACACACCGTAACGCGTGTATGAGCGAACTTCCAATGTTCTCCCCAAAATTTTGAGAGAATACTGGGTTATGTACTAAACCTTCGCCTCAGTCGCGATTCGTAGCCGGATCTCTTGCTTTCCGTGGCAACTCTGCATAATCGCCACCTACACCATCAGGGCAGAATTTAAACCCCAGCTCGCACCGGGAATCTCTCGCTTTGTTGGCTTCGGGTCACGCTGTTCGACAATTGCCCGGAAAGCGAGAGATCCGGCTACGAATCCTGGCAGGGGCAAAAGTTTGACCATAGTTCAGCATTCTTGTGATATCTCCCCAAAGTGTTTTCAATTGATTTCGTTTCTGAGGATGGATGGTGAAGTTTGGGATGGAATGGAAGAAGCATGGGTCAATACTTACAGGAGCATGCATCAGCCGAGCGGAGTTCCACCCCCTTGCTTCCCTCATCCTTCCCTCTCTCCTGCGGCGGGTGTCCCCCCCAAAAGGCCCACCGCGCGGCGAAGGAAGAGACGCAGATGCGGCAAAGGACGAGTCGCAGCGCATACTGTAGCGATATGAGGTAACGCCTAAGCTAGTAGTAGAGTGTACCATACTACGTCTCATATCGCACAGCACGCGCTGCGACTCGTCCTTTGCCGCATCTGCGTCTCTTCCTTCGCCGCGCGATGGGCCTCTTGGGGGACACCCTCCTGCGGCGGGCAGGCCTTGTCCCAATGTAGGCGTTGCCCGAAGCGAAGTTTTCCATTTTGTTCCAGGAGAGCCCGGAGAATAGAAAAAAAACAGATAACGTCGGCGGAGGAAGGGAGATCAGATGCGGTAGTGGGCGGGGTGTGCGCTAACGTGGGCGGAGCTAGCCTTAAGGATTTGGATCGCGCTGCTCGATGTTACAAGGCCTCGTGCTGGGCATGTGATTGTGTACGGCTCCAAATCGGTTGAACATGTAGTACTACAACTACTTGATAATCAATGTATTGTTGATGTTACATCCATGGAGAAAGTGGGGAGCTGTCTCGTCACTCATTTTGGAGAAATTCTTCTGTTGTGTGATGTGTTTGAAGTGGGAGGCTTGAGAGCTGTATTACAGAAGAATCGAAGGGCGTGCAGGGTCCATCGAACCCAGCAAAGAAGAAGACGGATGAACCTGAACCTCGCGACAAGTTCAGCCATTTTGGTGAGTTGTTTAGAGCTTGATTACAATAAGCAAAGGAAGTTGTATGTATGCTATTGTAGGCAATTTCGTTGCGGCTCATCTTCGAGCGCTGCCGGAAGAAATCTCGAGCGATAAGATCGAAAACTTGACAACAGTACTTCTTTACAATGTGCTTGTTACAAAAATCAAAGACGAAACAGCATTTGAAGGAAGTTAATGTTGTGAATATTCTTTTTTGGTTGTATGATGTTTGCATAATGATAAAATATTTTGCTATAAAAGCTCTTTTTAACACATTGACGACAACGCGAGTTTTGGCTTTTTTGGCCACGTGGGACCGCGGCGATTTTGCGGGCGCGCTCGCCTCAGGTCGTTCAAGCAGATTTTGAGTGATAAATACATAAATAATGATCAATACAAAACCAGATCAGTAAGTT